GTTCCCTACAAAAACTCTTGACATTGTCAATGTTATTATATCATAAGAATAAAGTTAATACTGTAACAACACCACATTCAGGCTCTCCTCTTCTTGTTTGATTTGGAGCTCTGCCCATTTTTGCTTCTCTTTTTCGCGGATTTTTCAAACCCGTTTTTCTCATCTTTCTTGTCGGATTTAGAGGACTTGACGCTGAGGACCCCGCTCGTCAAGATCTTCGAGTTCTGCAATGCCTTCTCGAAATCGTCTTCTTTGTCCACAATTGCATACTGCCGAAGCAGCTCCGGGTCCAACATTCCTTCTGTCTTCTCCCTCATTTGTTCCTTTTTCCCCCGAAAACAAAATTTGTTCCCCGAAATTACTCGAAAAGCCCAAAATCAAACCGAGGAAAAAAAAAGAAACTTTGGAAGAGAAGAAGAAGATTACCTCAACTTGCTTTGCGGCTTCGTTTAGATCTTCCTCTACTGTCACGTTATGAGGTTCAAGCAGTCTCTGCATCACCAAGAGTTACCCATTAACATGTTATTGATGTAACACATAAAGGTAACTGAACAGAATCTGATATAAAAGCCGAATGATAACGATTTCACTAAAATAAAATAAAAAACCAAACCTGAACCAAAACGAGCCGAATAAAAAAACAGAAACTGAAAATTTCTTTGAAAAAAAAGAGTATTTTTATTAGTAAGAATCGAAACTGAACCGAATTTGATATAAGAAGCGAATGGTTATAGTTTTTCTAAAACCGAAGTAACCGAACCCAAACCCAAACCCAAACCCGAAATGGTCATCCCTAGTATGAATCCATCTTCGACTAAATAGAGCTCACCTTACAAAAAAGGTATAATAACAATAATAACACATTGTTTTTTTTCTTTTGCACCGCCAAACTCACAGGAGGTAATGCATTATTAGTTTTGCAAAAGAAAACTTACTTCTTTCAACCGAGGGAATGTAGATTCGATCTCCTTTCCCGCAATCTCGTTTAGATATTTGTAGAATTTCTTCATTACCTTCAACAGAAGAGAGTATATCTGCCCTCTCTCTAACTGCGTTTGTTTCTGCAAAAGTAAAATAAACATTTTCAAAATTCTAGCATGTATCTGTTAATAACCTAAAAAACGACAATTTTAACGTGAACAAAAAACGTTACCTCGATGCATGAGAAATCTGATTCCTGCAAGCCCAAGCATAGCAATACGGATGCTTGAACGTACGAGAGCGTGACCGGAATCTTCTCTTGGAAATACAGATGAGCCAGTGTTTTGCAGAGGTCATAAACCTTTTTTAAACATTGAAGAAAATCAAGAACAGAAGAAATGTTTAAGCATGAGATGAAAAACCACTCCATGAGTCCATGACATGTATCGGTCGGTCCAAAGATTACAATTCGATAAATGTAAAGTTTGGATACTAAGACTTAGGGGGATAAACAATCTAACCAGATTGAAGTCGACAAGATTGTCGGTATATGCACGGAGTCTCTCCATGTCATAAGGTGATAATACGCCGTTAAGTGTCTTCAAATATCCATCCGACGATGTTCCTGAGGAATCTACTTCTGGGAAACTGATCTTAGGGTTTATCACACTGGAAAAAATAAGAAAAAGTGCTTGAGAATATATACATAACAGAAAGGAACCCGAAAAAGTATATGCGAACGAATGTCTTATAGTCCAGGGATATTCTCGAGAATAATCAAGTATCAACAATGATTAGACATACGAGAAAAAGTTTTACTGCTAACCTCATTGCAAGTTTATATTCCATCTTCTTAAACTTGTCACTCAACAGCTTAGAAAATCTGATCCTGAAATCTGAAAATAAAACCGAAAAATAATTCGTCAAACATCAAAACCAAAGTATACCTGACATGGAAGAACACCGAAACAATACAGTGAGAGATCAGAATCAGAAGGAAAAAAAAACCTTTATAGAAGGGAGCAAAGAAGCCCAACTCATCGGACTCGCTAACTTCGAATTCATCATTGTTCAGTGGTTTTAGTAGCATACATGTGTTCTCACCAGTAACAGCACTCTGCTCCAAAATCATATAGAGGAAGTGTGTTAAAAACTACCAGAAGATCAAAAAAAGCATAAACAATTAGGATTTAGGGAAGGAAAGAAAGAGAGGAAACCCTAACCGAAATTTGGCTGACATAGAACGGAGCAAATTTATGTTTTCTCCAGAACCGGAAAAGATCCAAAGTAAGCCCAAAGGAAACACCGAGGTAGTGGAGTTTCTCGGGTTTTCGATCACGGAGAGGAACCAACAATGGTGGAAGATTGGCACGAGGCTTTATCTGCTCCTCTTGCAGAGAGACCTGATTTATGATTTTAAAAAAAAGGGAGGGCAAAATATATTTAAACCGATAAAAACAATTCTAGTAACATCATAGAAGCATTCTTGACAGAGAAAAAAGAAATATTATGTATTCTGTTTGGTCCGTTTTAAGAATACAATGCAACAAAAGATCGAAATGAGTGATACATTCTGACCACAAGGCGAAATGGAAGAATAGAGAACCTTTTCAGCGGCCTCGGTAACTCTAACTGGTGAAGGCTCCTCATCATTTTCATCATCTACTTCTGAAATTGGAGCTAGCTGGCCTTCAAAGTATCTGGCACATACCAAATCAGTGTATCAAGGAAGAACTCACACCTTATAAATTTAGAGTGTCGAATTCTGATTTTCGATATTCAGAATCTGATTGGTTTTTGCATAATCTTATGGACTTTTGCACAGACGTATGTATTTTTTATGCATTTTACCTGGTCAAGAGTTCAACTGCAGCAGAACCATATCCCATCTACAAGGTAGCAATCAGGAAATTTGTTTAATATCTCACAAACACAAGTGAATAAATATTAAAAAATGAAATAGATAAACAGATTACCCTCATGGCATTGGGATGGACTGCAATGCGTACAATCCGAGCACCTGAAAGGCTTGGAAAGACAGTGTCCCGGAATTGTTCACAGAATTTCCATGGTATTTGATCTCCAAATGGCTGATGACCATCTCTTAAACTTTTCATGGCCGATTTTCGAGATATTTGTCCTTCGAGACAGACCTGCAAATACAAATTAGAATGATGTTTAAGATCACACGGTAAGCTACAAATCAAGATTATGAATACAATACTGATATTATTGCCTAATTATACTACTGATCGAATATGCATGGCATCATGTTTTTGATGGAGTCCCACATCGGGCCCAAACTCTATCAGCTTTATACACCAATAAACTTTGACCCATAAACAATTACAAAGAGAGGAAACAAAGGCAGATATCTGTACCTGGATAACACATAATATATCAGGAAGCTGGTTTTTGGACTCATCCACAGGACCTGTGTCAATGTGAACATAAGCACTATTCCGGTGATTAACTAAGCAGGAAAAAAAAAGATAACTTGCATACCGAGCAGCACAAACAAATGGTGAGCAGGAGCATCCGCCAGTAGTTGAAGATCATTAGGGGAATTTTTATAATGAGAAGAGACACAAAGGGCCATCATTCTCTGCATGATGCATGTATGCCAAGTTATTATCAAACGTATTGGTGCGAAAATATTTAAGTTAGTGAATCAACCATCATTACCTGTAAGAACAACTCACTGTCTTTGTGATAAGAAAAGAGCGTGTCCCGATTGACATAATAGAGATCACACTGACTTGGAAGAGGATGCCTACATGAAACGAAGGAAAAGCAAAGGCAAATCAACTCTAGACGAGCAGTTGGCAAGGAAGGGTAGTTAACAGTTCTGCCAAATATCCAATAGGATCTCCATACCAAGCAGGACTCGGCAAACAACTAGCAACATCAAGGCATAGTAAACCATTGAGCCAGGATTCTATTGGATCTCCAGAAGCATATCTAATAGACTCATTCAGTTCTATCTTCTTGAAAAGACAACCTGCATCCAAAGAAAAATATTCTCTCAAACCAAGGATTCACATATACTGAAGAAACCAAGAAGAAAAGGGGTTCCGATACAGAGTTATGGATGTAGCCCACATGCAAATCTTACAGTTCTAATAGTTATAAGGATTAAGGAATCTGCTAGGCCCCGTCCTACTGATACTAATTTTTGCAGAGCTCTAAGGCCAAATTTAAAAACGAAACCTGTGATCTTTTCTTTACGGAAAAAACACCAATATTCTTCAAAATATTGGGTATCAGTTGACTTTAGGGTAATATTGGAAAATGAGACTAAAATAACTGACTTTTAAATGTCTATTCCACCTAGGTCATTGTAACCATGCTGACTACTGAATAAAAGGAAAGAAATCTAATAATCATATCCTAGCAGCAATTTCTGTTCTGCTACAATCTAATGGATTAGGGGGAAAACTACAACAATTTCTGTTCTTTTTACGATCCAGAAATGAAATCACAATCACCCAAATAAATACCAGAAAGAGAGCCTTCAACACCAGTAGCAGAAGTTCTGCTTTGTTCTTCTAGTTGTTGGAGGAGTTTCAGGGACAAAGATCTACCGGTACCTTCATATCTTCCAAGACAAAGGACGAGAAATAGATAAATTTCAGAGGCATGTTTGGCTCTAAAAACCACAAACGAATATAATTTTCCAGAGATTATTGAGGGTTAATATAAAATCGGGTCTGACATACCCACTAACAGTAGATGACAGAAACACGAGATATGGGCCAAGCAAGGACTTCACGATTGGCAAGGGAATAGCTGCTGCTTCATCAATAACCAACAGTTCCACTTGTGAGAGTTTTTCATGTTCATGTGGTTGTATATACTGTCCATGGAAAATCAAGAAAGTGGAGCAAGTCAGTGATCAACACAAACCTCAGCCAAAAATCTGAAGGAAAGAGAAAAGGTTATGTAAACAACCTGGATAGTTTGCCTGTGTTGCTTGAAGATGTTTATCCTCACGATTGCTTTCTTGAATTCGGGATTCATACTTTTCACGACATCATAATCAAGATGTTCCTTCAAATAGAATGGTAGATAGAGTTTAGCAGAATGGACACCATCTCAATAATCAGGAAAATGGAATCAAAGTTCATTCCTTTCTCAAGATAGTGCAAATCTATTACATTTACAACCAGAGATCTCGCCTCACTCGCACATTAGAGTTCTCAACAAGATAGAAAAACCATAACTTTAAAATGAAATTTGACAAAAAGGCTACATAAGTATGGGACGGGGAAAAGCTTACAGTACCTTATATTCAAGGGCATCAAAACCTTTGCAGACGAACTCGAAGAATGTTTTTAAGTTGTCAGGACTCGGTGCAGTTATATAAATATTTGAGTACCTAAGTGCAAGTAAAATAAAGTCAATAGATTAACAAACATTAAGAAGGGGAAAAAGTAGAAAGTGAGGAATAAACAGTATAATAAGCTAACTCAAGAAATCTACCCAGCAGCAACAGCCCCAGCAACCGCTAGACCAAGTGCAGCAGATTTTCCACGACCTCGACTAGCAATTAATGCAACTATACTGCGGAGAGTCTTATCCAAAATTGCATCGAAAAATGTGACAACAGCTTTACCCTTCAAAATCAAAAGACAAAGTAGAAACTCAATTGACATGTCATACAGAAAGAAACACCAAGTAAAAGCCATTAGAAAGACAAGAAATACTCAAGTAATTGATAATCTGTACCTGATCCAATGTACAACATTTCTTGATCAAAGGACCAACAGGAAAATCATCACTTAGTTCCTCTTTTAAACTCTTCAAGTCTCGTTCGGCCTCAGAGAGCCCCTCTGAATCCTTTCAAAATAAACACAAAGCAATGAAAATTAACGAAACGAACTGACATGTCGAAAATCATTTTCCCATTTCGCAAATCGAAAGTAACACATAATCTGCTAGAAATTACCTCCTTTGCCAGAACAGGAGCAATTGATCTGATATGAGAAGAAAGGGGCAATATATTCAACTCATCATCCATGACAACACAAGCTTTGCATGAGGCAAGTGATAACAGAAATCGTTCATTGAAACGACCAGTAGCTTCAGAATGTGACTCAGTCCGGAATCTATCATGAACATCCTGATATCAACAAAATCATGTAAAAGCTTGCAAATTGGGACACAACTTCCCATTAATGATTAATAATCATCCAAGCAACAGAATGTAGTACAAAAAGCGCCTTCAGATTAATCCAGACAATGTGCTACAAGAGAACAAAAGGATTAAAATGTTCTTGAGATGAAATATGCAAGTTTACAGTATGAGACACAACAATATAGAAACACCATTTATATAAGATAAACATAACAAATAAAATTTGTGTTCCATCAACTTCACTCTAATTTAAGTTGATAAGATATGTTTGCAGAACGTTGGATGAACTGTGCATTTCTACAAGAAAATGTTTTTGTCCCGCTTCCCTAAACGTAAGCTCTTATAGAAACATAAGATGGGAAGTGGAGTTCATACCATAACCATAGTGCACAGACTGGTAAGAGAAGCAAGAGATCGCAACAGTAACACAACTAGACCACCACCTTCCACTGTCTCTATTGTCCTCGCTAGGAGATTAGGGGTCAAAGCTTCGAAATCCTGAATGCACCGAGAAATTATATTAAATATGAATGCATGTGATACAAAAAATTTGACAAAGCTACAGACAAAATGCAACAAGGTCCATGTCATAATAAGCTTCGGTAAGAACCATACTTGTAAGATGCACATGCCAAAAGTATTTCCGAGAATCCTTTCAGAATCTTTGTACAAGCAATGAGTTACTTTCCCAACATCAAGCAAAAGAGAGAATGCGTCAAGTTTCTCGGGATCCAATTGTCCTCTCTCCTTCAGTTTCTTCAACTGCTTCGTACGTTTTTTCCTGTGACTGCATGCATAAAAACAGTTCCAAAACACTATTTCACATCATATTCATTATGGAATGATCTCAACCAATGGACCAAATTACAACCAATAGATATAACAAACTAACACTGAAACTAAACAAAAACAGTTTCTTAGCATTCATGCCCAACATCTCTCATGTTAAAACATTGACAAAAAATTCCATTTCGCATTTAAGCCGAACTCGAACTCGGTCTCACCCGTAACACCAAGAATCAAACTTTACATAGAATCCTGAGACAGACCCGTTCTTCGACTAACAGTCCAACGAGTGCAATTCAATCCACAACAATGCATTTTAGAGTAAAAGATAATCATCCTAAAGATCAGAATTTTAGCTATAATTTGCAACCACTTTTAAAGCATATCTAAACAAACAAACAAACCTGCTAATATCGAGCTTATTCTTGTAGCACCACAAAACACTTGGGCTAGACTTAACCACTGCCTTTGACAGCATATGATGAAGATTCACTATCTGTAACAATGTGAACCCAGAAGAAAGAAAAAAAAAGGGTTTTTTAGATTTGTCGCAAAAAAAAAAATCCTCCGAAGAAAGCTTTCGAACGCAAAATTTATGGAACAGAGAGCTTGCCTGGTCACGAGACTTGTCGCCGATGATGAAAAACATGGAACGGTGTTTTAATTTGACGCCGTTTTCAATCAGAGTCCTGATACGCTCGTCCACCTTTTTCCTCATCCTCGTTCTACGTCTTCTACGATTCGTGAATCTCTCAGCTAAAAATTGATAACAAGATCAGAAATATGAAATACTCTTTGAATCGAAGAACTCGAATAGGGTTTTAGGGTTCCTGATAATTGAACAAAAGTTCGTCTTCTTGTTTAGGGTTTAAGGATGGACACTTTCGGAAAGCTAATATTATTTTGGGCTGTGTGGGCCGTTTGGTTAGAATTTTTATTGGGCTTCCAGGGAAATTTGTATTGCAGTTTGCCCCTTTATGTTCTCTTATATTTTATATTTTATCCATAAACTTTCAAAAGTTCAGAATTATACTTTTTAACTTTTTAATATGTTACTATACTGTAATGATTGTGGATCTTTCGTATTGATACGAATATTAGCGATGTAAATCTCACACCCTTTATCTTTGAAAATGAAATTTTACGAAGCTCAAAACCCATATATCTATACAATATTTATTTTTTTTCAAATTGGTTACGCCATGTAACAATAATTAACATATATATATATATACCAAAAAAATAAATTGAATAATAAAAAATCTCAAAACAATTGTCATCGATAGATAATCCGAGATTAATTTCCACTATTAGTCGATTTCATTTTCGATCGATATTATGTTTCTTCTAAATTAAAAACATAACTTGAAGATGCTGTCATCCATACTAACAATTAACTGAAATGACCGTTCTATGTAATACTCGGAATGAATCAGAAACATTGTAAACCCTAAAAATCGAATTTTAAACATTAATAATCTTTTTTTCTTTTCTATTTTATATGGTTAATACATTATTAATAATATTACTAAACATCGATCCTCTCTTTGTTATGCCGTGTCCCTTGTCTGACCTTGAAGGGACAACGAGGAATCCCTCTGAAACTGAATCGTATTGTTCTGATGAGGACGATGAGGAGCACCGTACCATTTTCGGACATCCCCATAAGAATCTTGACTAGGGTTCTTGAAACTGATCTGGAAAGAGGGATCTTCTTCGTAACACGACGTCGTTCTGTAATGGATCTGATGATGGTGAAACGACGTCGTGAGATAGTAACCTATGCTTGATCTTCTCGCTTGAAGCTGAAGCTTATTATTCTGCTTCTTCGTCTTCAACCTCTCCTTCTTGTGAGCGTTTTGGTGACCTCCTAATGCTTGAGAGTTCGAAAACCCTTTCCGACAATATCCGCACTCGTATCGTTTTCCCGAGTACGAGGCCGTGTTGTTCGAGTTTCCGCTCTCCCTCGTAAATTCGGCAAATTCTACATACGAATACGTTCCGACAGAACTATTGGGGTTACTGTTACTATTAGTAGTGGTGAGTTCGAAACCGAACAGCTTTATCGTCTTGTCGGAAGACGATGATCCCGAGGAGCTCCCAGCGTCGGATTCTCCGGTAAGCGACATGGTCGGAGATTATGTACGAAAAGATTTGTGATTAAGAAGTTCTTTTTGTGTGTGTTAAGGAATGTTTAGAAGATGGGTTTAGTTTGTGTAGGGGTAATTGTAATTCTCTTCCCTGTATATACTTATATAGCAAGAAAGAAAAAGACTTTTCTTATTATGTAATTAATTAATTAATCGATTGAAAGTGTATTATAATATTCATCATGAACAGCATATACGTACGTACATGTTCTAGGGTTTCAATAAAAAAATATCGTGGAGAATCAGATGTTGCGGAGCAGACCCACAATTCGATACATACATAAATATATAACATATGTGTCATGTGTGTATTGGACGGAAATTCAATGATGCGTTCCAACTTTATTGTATTTCTTTATTTTATTTCCTTTTAGAAATTATTAGGCGGTGTATTTGTGCAATTCAAACTTTATTAGATATAATAAAAAACAAATAGAGATGTGTCATATAAATAATTAAAACAAATGGAAAGGCAGGCAGCCACCATTACCAACTTTGACATTTCGTACATAGAAGAAGCTTAATTAAAGAGAGGATTAATTAAGAGGTTATTATAATAACAATAATGACAAAAAATAAGTCAACAATAACTAAATCTTAACTATCTAATTGTACTTGAAAATGCATATCCATGATCCATCATTATCTTAAATAAAACCAATTAGCGGATTAATTAATGTGTTGCATTTTCTTTACACGAGAATAGAGATATCAAAATGGGTCGGGTTATACGGGTCAACTCAATCCAACCCACTTATAAACTCAAATGGTTAGCCCATTTGGTTAATTTTTTAAAATGGGTTAAATGGGTTTTGGCCTATTAAACTCATGGGTTAAATGGTTAACCCATTAAATCCATTATATATTTAGTTAAAATTAAACTTTTTTTGTAACTAATTAAAATTGTTATATTTAGATATATAAAATTTAATATATATAGATATGTATATATATACATATATATGTATATGTATATGAATTAAATCCAAATATTTGGTCTCATTTTGGAATTAAATCATACCGAAAATTTCGGTTTCGTTTTTGAATCGAAGTGTATCGAAAAATTCGAATCGTGTCGAAAAATCCGATACTGATCCGAATCGAACCGAAAAAATTGATTTTGTTTCTGAATCGAATTGTATCGAAAAACTCTGTGGCATTTCCGAATCGAATCGTGCCGAAAAATTCGAATCGTATAAAAAACTCGGTACCGTTTCGAATCGAATCGTACCGAAAAACTCGGTGTCGTTCACAAAATAATTCAAAACAATACAGCTAATTGATTGTGATGCCATGTTCTCTAAAGGGATATATAATTTTCAAAAAGAAAAAAAAAATCAGTAAGCTTCATTCCACTAACCTATAAATATAAAGTTCAAAACTCTATCATATCTAGAAAAAAATAGTTATATATTGTAATATAATAATTTCTCTGCAATTATTATATAAATGTTTCCACCTAAACCAAATCTTATTTGTTTATCCACCATGAACGAAAGATTCAGAAAAATATGAAAGAATAATTAAAGCCTATGTTGACCATGTTTAATGAAATGCTTATTAATTCAAACATTAAATGGGAGAGAGTTAGTTGCCTAATGGAAGGAATACAAGAAGTGGGCATCTAATTATGCTTTAATCCTTTAAAATATGTATTTACTTGTCTAAAATATTCAAAGCAAGATCTTGGGCAAATCTTCACAGAGAATGAATCAAGTCATAGGCTGATGTTATTTTATTACAAAAAGAAAATTATATACATATATGTGTATATATATGGCATTTGGTTAGGTTAGTTGTTCCAATGGGGACCCAAATGCTTCTTCGTAGCTTAAAGATATGTCAATAATATATTTTTGTTACCCAACAGATCGTGGGCGAATGGTCAAGTTTGGATCAGGAGGTAACTTCATTTTGAGGTTGAGTGTTCGATTCCTGACTGGTGAGGAGAGAGGTAATTTATGGATTTATATGATCCATATACAAAGACTGCTCCCGGACCGGAGGTTTATCTAGTCAGCGCGTCCGAAGGATAGCAACTAGGGGTCCTCCGTTATAAAAAAAAAGAATATATTTTTGTTTGTGTCATCATCATCATCATGATCACCATCACCATCATCATAAGAATAATAATAATATTGTTTTCATTCACATAACCTGATTAAATCTCTAATTGGTGGAGTCTCAGCTCATCAAAGTCCATTTTCTTTTTATTTATTTTTTAATATTTTAAAGTCTTTTTTTTTCCATGGTCAACCTATTCAAATTTCACTTTTATTTCTTAATGTAAGAGAGGAATTCCAGATATGCTTAGGGTCTGCGTGACACGTGGAATAAAATGACACGTTGGGGTTTATCTTTTAAGATTTGTTGGTGGAGGCTACTCGTTGGTTTAATAATTTTAATTAGTTCCATGTTTTCTCTTTATAAGACATTGTCTAATTTTTTTTATAAGAATTAATTATAAATCTATTTGGATATATCCATGCGGACCATTTGTTTTATTTCTTCTCCTGTTTTGATAATCCCACCACCACCACCATTGTTTTTTTTTCTTTCTAATAATATGTATTACCTAAAAAAAAATATTCCAATAGAATGATGAAGCTCACTGGCCACTGCTCATGGTTGTGGGCCTTGGGCCCATTAAGCCCAACCCACGAAACATGGGGAACCCGGAATGGAAATGCCGAAACTAGGGGAACTTGAGCGTTTGAAGACCGAGAAGAAGAAGAACCTTCTGATTCTCAAAGCGGTTTCGACTTTTCCCCTCCTGGATTTGACCAAACGAAATTCTTTAATAAGACATATATTCTTAATGTAATTATGCAATTTTATGAAATTCACTGAATAATCTTAAACGATGCATTCATAAGCTTATGAATTTGATTTAAATTAGCATTCTAAAAAACATATGTATTTTACTATCATCGGTTTAATTTCTTAGCATTTTATAGGACTTTTCATATGATTGCTGTTAGATTCGGAAATATACATCACCCCATTAAAACAAACCAAAATATAATGACTTATAACCTATAACATTATTGTGGGAGATTTTATCAATATATATATAACATCCAAATTCAAAACTTGCGATTAGGTAAACCAAGACAAGAGTGTTGAATCATGAACCCGTACTCAAATACAACAACAGCCAAAAAGGAAAGGAGAGTACATAAAATGGGTCCATATATGTATATATGCACATATATATGTGAGTATGCGTACATACATGCATGCGTATATGTGTATGGATGAAAGTGTTTTACTACTTAGGAGTAAACACAAACATACCCATGTGAAAACATCATATCATATGCATATGGAGTTATGAAAGAAACTTACCTATTCACCTGCAAATATATTATAACTAATACGCATACATGCCAAGATACAAACTCAAGAACAAACATGAACTCTTCAAACAAACAAAGCCATACACGAGATATATATAGAATCTGTCTCGAAAATAATATATCATATATATATATATATATATGTGTATATAAAACCGGATCGGACCGTGATGCTTCCATTCCCCAGATAAAAAGATTATCAGAACCAGATCATTGCGTATATAGATCCCATGAAACCCACTTCTCATAAACAAGATCGAAACCCTACCGTGGATCTTTATCTCACAGATAGGGTTTTTTGTCTTCCCTTCTTGAGCAAGAACATCAGGGTATGGATCTTCATGGTATTGGTATCCCCGAGCTTGATCTGTCGGGACCTCTTTCTTCTTTTTCTTTGGTGAGACCTTGTAATAATCTGGTATGATGATGATGATGTTATGAGAGAGAGAGAGAGAGAGAGAGAGAGAGAGAGAGAGAGAGAGAGAGAGGGAGAGAGGGAGAGAGAGATTTATAAGGCCAGTAATTAAAGAAGAAGACATGACATGATGATTACTCCTGAATCTGAAAAAGACGATGAAAGAGAAGCAAAACGATACTTTATGTATGCTATATGCAGGTATTCGTATCCTCTAACATATTGTTTGTGTATAGTTCCGAATCTGGATCAAGAGAAAGATCTGGTTTCTTATTTTGATAATTAGTCATGAGGTCAAGTTACAAACATGATTCTTGGAACATGCATGCATACATCTATAGATATGCGCATATATGAAAATACAAGAGAAGACATGAGATCTGTGGTACCTTGCTTGATTATATGTAGATTCTTGATCTGCTAGTTCTTCTCTTCTGATTGAGCCCTAATTAAGCTTATCAAAGTAGAGAGAGAGAGAGAGGGGGGGGGGAGAGAAAGAATTTTGTTTGACCTTTCGTTATATATTATATAAAAGTAAGGCGCTCATTTTGTACGTATATTAATTGTAAAATTTAATTATATATATATAATTGAATTTTTATTTGACGTGAGCTAGCTCTTTGTTCTTACCATGCATTTATATTATATGTATCTTTAAAAAAAATGGTTGATTTTCTCTAAAATGAAATGAGTGGTTTAGACGCATAACGACATTGATCCTTTTCATAAGAAAGTATATAAAGGAACTTAAAAAAATTAAGGTTGTCCAAAAACCAACCAACTAGTATATATGTAAATAAAATTACCTATATATATACACACACATACTCGGAGGTTAAAAAAATGGGATTTTACTTTTTTACCTTTCAAGTTATTATAGAAAAGGTTTTACCTAACAGGATATTAGGTGGGGCGAAAAGAAAATTGAATAAGAAAGGCGGCAAAAAGTCAATAGGGTAAATAAAACGTATGCATTTATCTTATAGTTTCGTATCAATATATATATATATATATATATATATATATATATATATATATGAAGTCCAATATATAACAAATAATAATTTCCTGAAAATTAATAAATACCTCTCAATTCAAATGTAATATGGATCTTGATCTCATATATATATATATATATATATATATATATATATATTTTGTTGGACCATTGGTTTTCAAACGATATCATATTAAACCTTTTCATTTATAGATTATTTTTTTTTCTTCCAAAAAATACAAACTTCAAGTCACAATATTTTGCTTGCAATTCCGACTGCAGACATTACAAACGGAAATAAAATTGTTTTTAGCTTACAGATTCATATGTTCAGTCGGTCCAAATAGATCTAAGCCGACATGAAAACATCAAAACCTCGGACATTTATAACTAATTCGAATCTTTTAAACTTTGAATTTCAAAGATCATTTTGTGACTATGAACTAATTATGTTTGCCATTTTCTCTATGTTCTAAGTTTTTGAAATGAAGAACATTATATATATGTAAATGGGTTCCTTGGATCACCATTTGAATTTAATATTGATTTTAATAGTATTGGAAATATATTAGCTAATGATATTCACCTAATTGTAATGTCGAAGGACCAAAATATATAGCAAAATTATTGTTATCCATCGTCCATGACAACAGATTCTGAATATCCACTAGCGACGATACATACATATGTATACACACGAATATTATATCTATATGTATATATGTATATATATCCATGGTGTGACTCTAGTCTATCATGTCATGATGGATATTCCCCACTGTCCTTGGTCCATTTCTCTTTCTTTGTCTTGCTTTCTACTCTCTCATTTTTATGGGTACATAAGCCTAATTATTATTTTGGGTTAAAATTAATCATTAAATCCAGATAAAAAAAATATATAAAAATTTATACATTAGTATAGTTTAAAGAGATATAAACAATTAATCTATATGTATTTGTTCTATTGACAAGAAGAATTCTTGGTGTATTTATTCCTCGGAATCCTTCCCATAAATGCAATATAACCATTAATAAAATCAGATTAATTATGTGAGACTTTTATATGGTTGAAAATATCAACTAATATCTAAAATAAGAAAAAACAAAAAACTTCGCAAATTTTACAAAACATTTATTAAAAATCTCAACTATGCACAAACCACTATCTCAATAAAATATTTTAAAAAATAATATATATATATATATATATGATGATCTTTTAAAAAAAATGCACATTATTTCTAAAAAAACGAAATAGTACTCTAAAAAGATGAGATCTTGAATCGTGCCATACTAAAAGGACAATCCATATAGTAAGACACATTTTAATCCATATAAAACTCTATTTCACGAATTTTTTTTTGTCACATTCAACTATTATATTATATATTCTCTCCTGAACTAAAAAACAAAACAAAAAGTTAAGCTACGATGTTTGACATTATTATTCCTATTGTTTTTATTTTATTTTTGTTTCGGGAAATAAATGATGTTTGACATTTTAATCTACAAAAAATAAAAATTGTTTGGAGAATAGAATTATGAGTTGTCGACTTTTTTTTTACATGTTTTCTACTTGACAATGATTATGGCTCCACTTCATGGGGTAAGCCTTAAGACCAAAAAAAAAAAGTTGCTTGTTCTTTCTTTCTCGTATCAAAATCAAAGAATATAATTTTATTCTTTCTGTCGGCCTGGAGCCCACAACCTCTTTCACATATTCTAGAATTTCCCTTTTATATTTTGCCATATTTGTCAAATAAAATTAACATTTTAATTTAAAAAAAAGTTGGCAGCAAATAAGTTCCACATCCGCAATTGTAGACTTAGGTTTGCTTAAAATTTTTAAAATTTCTTTTACCCTTCAGTTTTCTTACTATTTATTTGTATTATCTAATAGGGAAAATGTTTTTCTATTATTGATAATGGAAAGAATACATCATAATATATAGCAAAATACAATAGAATATTCTAAGCATAATATCTAGGGTAAATCATAACAATATTAATGATAATATTATAAGAATAATATCTTCCTATATTATCAATTTATATTCAATAAATTTAATTTTGAAAATAAATCTAATGGATTAGATCACAAAATACCTTTCTTGCTAATAATTTATTTTCATATTTTTGTTTTACTTTTAAAATCTGGAATGCAATTATGACAAAATGTGAATTCCTTTCTTTCTTATTAATTTCGGTTCAGACATCGTTTGTTGCTCTGAATTAGATTCTTAAAAACAAGATTTTATCCATTGTTTTTTCACTCCCCATGCTGATGTCTCCGATCACGATTCCGACGCTCTCGATCGGCTCCGACCGCCACCAGGTGCCGGAATCACCGGAGCTGACGCAATCGGTAATTCAGTCCGTCAAACTTGGCGGAGGAGCCGCTCGGCGAAGCCCTGTCGGAGGCGATCTCCCCCGGTTTGTTCGGATCCAGAGATGAGCTCTGGCACACCGATTCCCATCGCGGCCTCGTCGACTCTGCGGTCCGACGAGTTTGCAGTAAGATTCCGGATCTCTTTCTTTTTAGGGTTTTGTTATTAGGGCATTTCTAGAGCAATGTCTGAATTGGGAGAATCTGCAATGAGTTTTGAGAATGATGAACTCTTATGAAGTCGATGACCTCAATTGCCTGTGACTTGGGTCTGAATGTGAGTAGGTGGATGGTGAATCGCTGGGTAAATTACTTCTGGGGAGGAGTTAGAAGCGAATGATCTCATATTCGATGGTTAGGTATGAATACGCATCGATGAATCAGGGATTTGAAAGAGAAACAAAGCTTTGCTCTTAGCTACGAAGCATAATAGAACAGGGTGAAGTTCAATGTTCTGAATTCATGAGCAATTTCAAGTTCAGAATACGCATTTGCTAAATTTGCACCTCATTAGTAGACGATAGATCACATGCTTGATTGGTTGACTGGTCCGGAGTAAAACCCTCGCATAACCCTAAATAGTGTCTCCTTGTAACATCCTGTTTGCATTAAACTTAGACTGGACTACCTAGATCGATATCCTGTACACTGGTCCGTGGCCTCGAAACCTGCAAATACAACTTCCCTGCAGAAGGATTCACGTGGCTTGATTCTGATGCTGTTAGGAGCTATTCAAGAGACTCGGGCTCGAGAAGTGTATCGGCATGAGCAATTTCTCGTGCAAGAAGCTTCAACGCATCCTCTCTGTCGACAAAATCCCATCTTGCTTCAATTAAGTAAGTGACGCCTTCACACTTTCGCTTTCTCGTCACCCAATTCTACGTAATGAACCGAATTCCATGTCTCATAGAAATGGGGAATAATCGTGGAGCTGCACATTCAGCTTGTGAAGTCGGTATCGAGTTCTCACGGCCACTCCGACGCTCGTTCGTGCAAGAAGAAGAAACGACACCGGAGTTTTAACGAGTTCGGTTACCGAGTTACCTCGGGCCTACATCTCGGCCGGACGGTGCCGGCGAATCCACTAGAACGGAAAGAAACAACAGAGAGACGGTGGTCTCCACAAATCCGGAGACTCACCCGAAGTATCCGAGAACCAAACGAGAACCAAGAACAAGAGACCTTACCGACTCGACCTTTGCTTACCGCACCGTCGCAGTCGACCAAGCTCCGTCGTCGCCTAGAAGCTCCGGCCGCCTTGTCTCCCTCTCTTTCTCCCTTCGCGATCGCCTCTGCGATCGCCTCTCTCTTTCTCTCTCGAACATTCCCAGCGCCTCGAGCCACGTGCCTCACTCCTCGATAACACACCCGCATTAGGGTTACATTAACCCTTAGTCCAGAACGCTGCGTTTCGGCCAAATGGGCCATGTTCCTTTTTCCGCCAAACGGGCCGCTGGGCCGAGCGGGCCCAACAATCTCCACCTTGGTGGAGAAAGGAACTTGCAAGGAAATAATAACAAATAAAATACTAGTGGGATTCGCCGTTTCCAGCACCGATCGACTTTCGTCGATCCCTCGACTTTCGTCGATCCCTCGACTTTCGTCGGAATTTAAAGCGTAACTTACCTGACTTACCTGACTTACCTGTCCCGGAATCAGTCATGTGCCACCTTGAACTTGATGAAGCTCCCGTCGATGACTCCTCGTGGCCTTGTCGCCTTATCCGGCCACCGAACAGCTCATCCAAATCTGAAAAACTCGGTAAACGTGTTAGAACGTTCACCTCGATAAGACTCGAACCGTAGTCCTATCCCGCGTTGCCCGACCGGCAAACGCTACACTCGGTTGTATGACTCCCTAGACCGTCTAAC